TGTTATTAATTCTCTTAACATGTTATACATAATTATGATCATTAGCAAACATATATGGTTTGTTAGCTAATACATAGTTTGTTACTTTGTGCGTTTTGGTATATTATTTGTTAGATGCAGTGCCGGTCCGGATTCGTTTGGTGCCTAAAGCGGACTAAAATATAATGCCTTTAACTATAACTAAATTTTATTATATTTTAAACATATAATCAAAATAATATTATACATTTTTTAAAGAAAGTATAAAACCTCAAAACATTATTTGCAGCTCATCTTATCCCTTGTTTTTTCGTATTGGATGCTCACTTAGTTGATTTATTTTTTAATACTAATATAATAGCATTTTCTACAAATAAGGAAAAAAAATATAATCTATTGATAGAACAAAACATATAATAAAGGCTAAAAAAAATTTCATAGATTTTTCAAATACTGAGAACCTATTGTACTTTTAATTTTGGAATTTAATAAGTTTTTAACAAAAAATAGAAAAACTTAAAAAAAAAAAAAATAAGGAAAAAGATGAACATGAAACTACTCCCCTAGAACGCTATTTAGGCGAAGACACCAATTATGACACAGTGAAACATGAGCAACTGATAATTCTAATTAATTATTATAGTATTTTAAATTCAAAACAGCTACTGTAGTAAATCAAAATAAATGAAAAGAAAGTGGGGAAGATAAGTCATTATTTAATAAAACAAAAGAAATAATTAGGTTTCGTTTACAAAAAGTGTTATTGGGGTTTCTAATAGAAAAAGTTTTATAATACGCATAAATAAAAGAATTAGGAAAGTTGGACATGTAACGATTCTTCCGTAATGAATAAAGTTGTTGTTATTCTCAGAAAATAAAAAAATCTGGAAAATAAAAATTGTTATTCGAACAAACCTTATTTTAGGATAAGCTCATAAGAAGTTAACAACCAACCAGTAGACTAGAGTGGATTTTGTGAAAATTGGCGCCCCAAAAATATTTATCATGTGTGACGCCTAAAATCCTAGTTTTATGGGTTAAGTCCAGGGTTGGCCCTAGTTAGATGATATATGATTTTTTATCCGCTAAAATTTTTCGTATATTAATATATATTTTCATACAACTGACTATAAAAATGATAAATATTGAACAAAAATATCGTTGTGTATTATTGTTTAAAAATATGAGATGTATTGATACATTAATGTAATAACATACCACAACTAATATATCAGTAAAAAAATTATTTATCAGTTAACCAATCATGTATCAACAACAAGCCGTAATAATCTTGTTAAAAGTAACACATTAAATTCAATAATAACATTATTTATGAGCCATTACCAATATGTAGCATGCTAACATAACAACCAAGAGAGCACATATCAAACAATATCCCCCTATATATTAAAAGAGAAATCACTTTAATGAATTTTGCTTACGTGTCATTCATAGATGCAATGTATAATTAATTCTCTTAATTTGATTGGTTGTTGGTATTTGAATTTTTATTTATTTAATTAAAGTTTTTTAAAAGGAAACTAATCCAAGAATTACCTAATCTAATATATATTACCAAACAAACAATTAACCATCTTAAATACCTAGGATTAATAGAATTTGTTTATAGAAACAATTAAATATCACATATTCCATTATTAAAATTTAGACTATACAAATAAATACATATTATATTATAGAAATAAGTATATAAACGATTTTATATTTTTTCTATTAATAGTGGATAAAAAATCATACATTACAGAAAACTAATAATATTTTTATACTCACTCACTATATATATGTATTCTTAAAATATGTTCAATGAATGCAAAACAGTCAAATGTAAAATTTTAAAAACATTCTATCATTTTCCAGAGGTAAATGTCGATAGTATAGTTGAGTTATCACTTTCAAAATTTTTTAAGTATTGTTATATTTAAAACATAAAACTATATGTTATGTCATTTTAAAAAATATGAATAAATTACAAAGTTTATTATAATATAAAATTACAAAAAAAATCAAAACATTATATTAATACAAGACTAGAGTTAATATTCTATTCATATAATTCATATAGCTTTAAGTATAATAAAATTGGCATGTTTATTTTTAATAAGAAAAAAGAAAAGAGACATAAATAAAAACATGAATGAATAATAATAAAAGCTTTTGTTGTATTCTTCGTTATTTTGTATTTGTACATACATAATTTTTTATTTGTATACCAAAATATTTTTTACGTATTAATATAATTGTAAACTAATTATTTTAGGTGTTTATACAACATAAAGACAAATTGAGCAAGGAAGATAAATTTACATGATAAGTTATAAAATTTTTAATGTTGAAGATGCAAAATATAACACAAATTAAATTTAAAATAAATTATTTTAAAATAATGATAAGTATTTTGTGGTGTAATAAACTTTTAAAATATATGATAACAAAGTTATAACAAAATTTATACAACTAGAAACATGTTATTTTGATATATTAAAACTGTTGAATCTCATGTTTATATTAATCTATGTCTAAAATAATGACATCACATCATTTAAGAATTAAGATATTTTATGTTATATAATTATTTAATCAAATTTACTTTTTTGAAATACAATTATTTAGATTTATTTAAAATATGTATGTAATGAAGTAATTAAAAAAACAAAATTAATAATAAGATATTTATTTTTTCAATGAAAATCTTGGTCAAAGGAATCAATGTTTGATAATATAGTGTGAAGATTGGAGAGAATTTGATAATGAATTTATTTGGTTAGCCAATTGTGATTTTATATTGAATTCTAAATAAAAAAATATGTAAGAAATGGAGAAAGAGAGGGAGATATGGTGATGATAAGGATTAGAGAGTCGATTATGATCATAATGAAGATGAAAGTGAATATAAGTGAGATAGATTCTGAAATCATTTATTAATACTATGTGAAAGTGTTTTGAAGATTAACAAAATCTGGTGAAAATTTTGCAACCAAAGAGAGATAGAAAGAGTTTTAAAGTGAAATGTTGAGGATCATATTAAGGATGAGAGTAAGAGAATGAATATAGGTGAATACTGTGAGAAAGTGAATGTAAATTTGAGAGATTTTGAGATTATTTGATCAACTAAGAGAAAGAGAGAGAAAGAAAAAAAGAGCGAGAGAGGTGTACAAAAACATACAAAAATAATGCAAAGAGAGATACATAAGAAACAAAACGAATGTGTGAAAAAATACAAGGAGAAACGAAATGAGTAAGATAGAAAAATATATTAATAAAACAAAGTATATGTGTAAAAGAGAAAGAAAGTTAGAATATATTTATACATTTATATTATTTTTTATTCATGCAATGTATAGATTATATTAATATCCGCACATGCGTGCGGGCCGTCCACCTAGTACCAGTTAACAACTAATCTATCAAATTATGTATCCGCTAATAAATCGTGTATCTTTAACAAATTATGTTTTTCTTAAATGTAGTTTCTAATAAATAAGTTATCCACTAACAAATCTATAATCTATTATATAAAGTAGAGTTGAATCTCTCCTTAGTGTGCCACATGGGATGACAGGTCATTAAGTCCACGTCACTCCTCGTCCACGTAGGACACCAACCCAGTTGAAACTCTGCGTTTCATTAAACACAAATCTCCTTCTAACCCTAACTGATCGAACAAAGCTTTGAAGATTGTCTCTTCCTTTCTGCGGCGGCAACAAATGAATGACCTCTGCACTACCTTCACTGGCTGAAACAGATCTGCTTAAATCGGTGTCACGATTCTGTTCGTTGAGGGTTTCAATCAAGTCCTTACACCTTCTTCCATCAATCGAAACGAAATTCTTTCAGATTCAACGTATGTTAATCTTCTGAGAGGAGGTATTTCAACGAGTATAACAAGGTATGATTTCCTCCTCTCCAGATCATCTTTGAACCACTTTTGCATTTTTTTCAAGGCATAAAGAATCAATCTTTATAAAGATCGTCGGACTCTGACATGGTGGAGAACGCTCCTCCTACGTTTGCTTCGGGTTCTACAACTCTCTAAATCCAGACAGGTTGAATCTTTGTATCCTTTTATGTAGTTTATGTACCCATTTGCGTTGACTCCATAGGTGTCTTTCCTTGATATTAAATGTCTTTGAGAGATTTAAGAAACAATTCGAGAGTTCTCTGCACATGTACGGATCATGTTTCTTAGTAAAAACCTTTATTTGTTTGTTTTTGTTGTGTTCTGCTCAGATTTAGTGTTCAACAAGTTCTTCCCCAGATTATCTCTCTGATTTGGAATTTATTTTTTCCCCAGATTAGAGTTCGACCAAACCAGAAGGAGGCTGACATCAAGATGATGTGTGCTGCTGAGTTCACCTCGGAACCAAGAACTGTAATTACCAAATGGAGCGTTATGTCTTCAAGAGACGCAACGACGGTAACTCTTCTCTTCTATCTTTTTTAAATGTTCACTTATGTACATATATAGAGATGGTTTAGAGCAATGAGATTATGTGTTGATATAGATCTTAACCGCTGCTTACAATCTAACTAGCCATGTCTCATCATTTCGTGTATTAATATGTCTAGATAACTACTCAAGTACTGTTTTGTGTGTATGTTCCTGTCTACTCAGACTGGTTCGGTATTTATATAGAATATAGTTTCTATTTGGTATATGAGAAAGAAAATTGAGACAGTGGAGTATAGCCGTCATTGTGTGTTCTATTATTTTATTAGTTTGTGGTTTACACTCTTCTGGTTGATGTTTGAGTCTGTAAAAGTTGAAAGTGTTTTTTTTTTTTTTTTTGAAATGTTCTTACTCAGGTATTTACATCTTTAACCTTGGCAAAACATGGGAGAAGCTGATGATGGCTGCTAGAGTTATCGTTGCGATTGAGAACCCACAAGACATTGTTCAATCTTCTAGGCCCTATGGTTGGAGAGCTATCTTGAAGTTCGCTTAGTACACTGGAGCCAATGCTATTGCCGGAAGACACGCTCCTGGTACCTTCATTAATCAGATGCAGACCTCATTCAGTGAGCCAAGGCTTTTGATTCACTGGTCCACGACCACCAGGTAAAGTCAAGATTTGGACTAATGAGTTCTTTTTCCTGATTGAAATGATGGTTTTATCTTAACTTTGATCTTGGTTGTTTGTGTATGTGTTGCAGCCCATAAAAAAGGTGCTTTGGGAAACATCCAATCATTGCTTTCTGTCACACTGACTATCTCATGAGATTTGTTGACATTGGTATCCCCGCCAACAAGAAGGGAAAGCACAGCTTTGGTTGTCTTTTTCTGGCTTCTTGCTCGCATGGTCCTATATATCCGTGGAACCATTCGTCCTGCACAGAAGTGGGATGTCATGGAAAGACGTGAAACTTGAAAAGGCTTACATAGAAGTCTGTAGTTAAATATCTTCTGTTCATGTTTAGTGTGTGGCTTACTCTATACATTGTTGTGCTGGTACATGTTGACATGTTCTTCTACAGGGAACCCGAGGAGGCTAAGCCAGAGGATGAGGAAGAAGTTGCACCTCTGCTCCTGAGTATGGAGGTGGAGACCACTGCTGCAATCCCTGATGCTGCATGGCCAGGAGAAGCTCAGGCACCAATCTCTGCTGCTCATGTCGCTGGTTCATGGAACGATTCAAGCGGTGAGTCTTTTTTCAACAGATATATCCTATAACCACCCTGTGTTGCCTCTCTGGATGTCTTGGTTTTGATGGTTTCTTCTTTGTTTTTTTTTAATTCAGTTGCTCCAGCAGCATAAGGTGGATGGGACCCGGCTGTGCCACCGCAGTGACCAACTGGGAATAGATTTGATAGCCTTTACAAATGATGTCATAGAACGTTTTTTTTTTGTTGCTATTGTAATTGAAGAGTGTATTTGTTCAATGATTTAATTAAAACAATCTTTTTAGCCTTTTCCTACGCAACAATTTAGCTAATAAATTGGTTTCTTTGGTCAGCTTGATAAATAACTTCGGTACTCTATCAAACCAAAATTATATAGCCATAAAATTAATTAGCTAAAAGAATATATTACCTTTTAATATATCAAAAGTAAAGAACTGCTTCCTACGTTTTATTTTGCCTTTAAAAACCGATGCCAGAGAAATGGGAACTGAATAATTCTAAGAACATAAACTAAGCTTTAATGAGTTGTAAATTTTAACAATAACAATTGTTTATACGAAAAACTAAATAACAAGATGAAATTATTTAAAGCATAAACAAAATATAATTAAATTGGATTTCACATTGCTTAACCTCCGTTAATTCCAATACTGAAAATATGACAAATAGTGAGTTTTAATCATCTTAAATTTGTTGAGCAACACATTGAATAAATCAAAACGAATTCTAAATTTGCATATCAATTATATTCAAATAGTCAATTACAATATAATATAAATATATTAAAGTCTAAATTATAATTACATTTGCTTTATCATGATTTTATACATAATTGTTAAAATAAACAATAGGAAACTTTCATTTGATCAAAACAGATTATAAGAAACTTATGCTCCTTCTTTGGCTACAGAAGAAAAAAGAAGAGACTGAAACTCAAATTTTCCTCCAAACATCTACAGATATCCTTATGATCTGTAGTTTAACAATTTTTTTCTACTGTATTATCTTTTGATCGATTTCGTTTGATTTAATTTATAATATTTAAAGTTTAAATTTAGAGAAGTGTTATATGTATTACTCCTTCCGTTCCTTAAAGATACATATTCTATAAAAAAATTTGTTTTTAAAAGATCCATGTTTACATTTTCAATACATGTTTTATTAATTAATTGTAAACTTCAAAAAACTTAATTGCACTAAATAATTTTTTATTGGTTTAAAATTATGGAAAGAATATAAATACAAAAAACTATGTAAATTTATTGTGTATTATTAAAAAGTGTGAAAAAACTAGAATATTGATCTTTTAAGAGTAGAGAGAGTATAAAACTATAAAATTTTGCAACTTTGAGTCAACGATAATACTGAGTATGCTCACATGTCATTTTTAGTTTTATAATTAAAATTTGATGACGTAAATAAAACTGATTCCTTAACATAATCACACTCAAAACTAAATGAACATACACAAAAATTACATCATCGATAAAAACCAATGCATCACATTCCGCGCGTAGCGCGGACCGGCCCTAGTCTATAATAAAAGGAGGATATACTTCTCAATTAGGATGTCCACGTCGCTTATAAAAATCACTCAATCATACAGTTCTACTGATCCATGTCATCAACAACACCAAAACTCTGAGATTTCATTTATTTATGATTTTGTTTGGGCTTTGATTGTACATGGTTTTTATAAATAAAATTTGGTAAAACCCATCCTGAATAAGAGAAACTCGACATTATTGTAACGTGTCGTTTTCTATTTAACGGGTTGAACTCTCATCACTCTCTGCCGTCATGATATCGGCTCCAACTCTAGGGTTTCGATTCATCTTCTTCCTCCAACCCAGAGTTTTACCAGACAAAAGCGTAACGGTTTACTTACATTCAATTTGTGGATTTTACGTTCTCATTGACTCCATCAAACCACGACTCCACTAGCTCACATTCAAGAAGAAGATCGTCTTCCTCGGAGGTTATGAATCTGAATATACATATATATATATACTTCTGTGAAATTCATCACTTTCTAACTCTTTAAATGGCAAGCTCCTCCTTCTGCTTGCCAACGTAAAAGTTCAGTCGTTGTGCTAAGACTTTTCGGGTGGGCTTTGCTATTACGGCGTTACTGATTTTTTTTAGGTAATCTATGGTTCCGTCAACGCTTTCTGATTATACAATGTCCATACGCCTCTAGTATTCTCAAATCTTGGTGTTTTCATTCCTATCTCTATGACAGATTGAGGTATGCTCTTCCCTTATTTTTAGATCAATCACCTAGAATACTGAAATTTTCTGTGCTTCACAAGTTGATACATATGGATGCTCAAGGGAGATGATTATATCATATATCGTTATCCATAAATTCAGAAGATGACAATATATTTTATAAACCACGAGAGTGGCAATTCAATTACTTTTTTTGGGATAGACTTCAGAATTTTTTGTATGAAAAAAATCACTTGCACAATACTATCATGCATGTCGTTCTTTGATGGTACTTAATAATGTTGAAACGCGATTCAAGTGAGGGCATTGTTGGAGAAAACCGAACTGATGTGTCTCTCTTTGAATGTAAATGTTTTGTTTTGAAGGATATGTCCCCGACTCATCCAATACGGCTTGGTCTTGCCCTCAATTTCTATTTGTTGATGTTTTGATTCACCTTCAGACATTTGAAGAAGCCATCGTTGAGCTTCACACACTGAGAGAAGAATCCTACAAAGCCAACACTCTTATTATAAAGTTGTTGAGAGACAATATAACCCTCTGGACCTCTTCACATCCTTTTTCCCACACCTTGGTTCCCTACTTGACCTTCAAAGTCATCTTTTAAAGTTGTTTTCTACTTGCAGTTTCACTTGCTTCACTATGAGATTCATGTCAACAAAAGATGTGTCAGCTTGACAGTATTCAAATGGTGAAAAATGTGAGTAGCTTGATATTTTACGTTTTCTTCTTTCTAACAATTTCTTTTGATGACCAAATGTGATTACATAAGCACTATTAATATACAGTCCTTAGCTTTTGTTTCCAGATCGGTGAGACAATTGATGACTTTACCATGGTCCACTAGCAGACGTCTTGTAGATATTTCTGTATGCTGATGGTATCTTGAATCTTTGGCTCTGCAGTCAGTGCAAACACTTTCAGATTTTTGAAAAGTGAGAGCTCTTCTTTCTCTTTTGCTCTTTCGTTTTTATAAAAAAAAAAATTGTTGTTGTCTGGCACATAAGAATATCTATATTCTATTAAAATATAGTCATTATTTTTATCTACAAATATAAGTTGTCATTTAAATTTGGACCCTTTCTAGAGTGTTGCAAATAATACAAGTTATACAGTTGATTGAACCGCATTACTTAAATTAAACCGGCGGTTATTTATGGAATAGAGTTTTAGGCTTATTTTTGTATTTATGACATTTAATTGTTTGATTTTTGAGTTTAGTATTAAGGGAAATTGCCAGAAATAACACTTTCAAGATACCACTTTTCAATTTTACACTAACCAACTTTATCATTAAAATTTTAATAGTCAAAATACTATTAGAATTTAGGGTTTAGGGTTTTGGGTTTAGGATTGATAGTTTAGGGTTTAGTGTTGATTTTTTAGGGTTTAGGGTTTACTTTTTAGGGTTTAGGGTTTAAGGTTTAGAATTGATATTTTAGAATTTAGGGTTGTTTTTTAGGGTTTAGGGTTTATTTAGAATTGATGTTTCAGAGTTTAGGGTTAATATTTTATTTAATATTTATTTTATGTATATATATAAAGAACAAAGATATAAGAGTCTTTTATCGTTTAATAAAATGTGGTACCACCAAAGTGCTATAATTGAAATTCTCCCTAGTATTAAAGAAAAACTCCAAAAAAACATTAAATAAATTTTCCACCTTAATGGATCAAAAATCAATTACTATTTTCAGAGCCAAAAATATTTGATATTTTCAACAAAACAAAATTTTCTATTATTAATCACTTATTTAAATCATATACTTTAAAACATGTTAATGTTTTTTAGCTCAAAAATATTTAATATTTTCAACAAAACAAAATTATCTATTATTAATCACTTATTTAAATCATGTACTTTAAAACATGTTAATATTTTTTTATTTTAAATAACAATCACATTATCTTGATAAATTTTAATGGTAACTTTTTAAATAATTTATTGTTTTATTTTTCTTAAATAATTTATAGATTTTTAAAAAAATATAAAGCAAATTCAAAAACCAAATCTAAAAACTAAAATCCAAAACCAAAAGCTGAAAACGCAGGTTATATTTTTTGCTTTTTTATTTACAAAATAAACTGTTTCAAAATTTTTAGAAAATTATTTTGTCATCTTTTCAGTTTTCAGTTACATGTTCGATTAATTGAGATTTGTTTGTTGGTAATATCAGTTCAAACTAACTCAGCGGGTCTAAAAATTAAAAACCCAAACCAAAAGCTGAAAAATCAAAAATAGAAACTTAAAAACTAAAAACCAAAAACCAAAATTTAAAACAAAATCTAAAAATAAAAACTGAAACTAAAAACTAATGAAAAATAACGGTCACCACAAATTTTGGTAAACTGATTTTATAGCAAAACATTCTTTAAATTAAGACAAAACACAATTATATAAATTTTTAATCATAAAAAATTTATGCGCATTTCAAACGCGGATCAAAATCTAGTTAGTCATTAATAAAAGGTTATCCTCCCTTTTAGGTGTTATGAGGCTAAACAGAGAAATGAAGACATGAAAGACATCCTATTAATTTCAATGATATGCATGCATTATAAACCGAAGTCCAACTATATATAACAAATTTTGTAATGCTCATGTTTAATTCTTAGAATATAACAATATTGATAATTGGAATTACATTTTTCGAATGTTTGTTTTTAAATATAAACAAAAAGAGGTTAAATTTATATTTTTCACAAACACAAAAACTCTGTAAATTCTGATTCTTATTTCTGATTATTTTACAGTTTAAGCATATATAAATCTAAACATGGGGGCCGTTATGCAGCTACCTATAATATAACACTGTAGGCTTGGCCCTTATTGGCGTCTTAAGAGTTATATACAGTGAAACCTCTATAAATTAATAATGTTGGGACTACACCAAAATTAAAATTTTATTAATTTATAGAGATTATTAATTTATCGAGATATTAATTGAACCAAAAATTCAGTTTGGGACTATGAAATTATATTAATTTATAGAGATATTAATTTATAGATTATTAATTTAAAGAGGTTATACTGTATAAAGGGAAATTGGATTGTATAGACACACAAAAACACGTAATTGGGAAAATAGCCAGTTACCCTAATACATCAATACACCATACATATTTTATATAATAATACTAATCTACCCTCTTACACAACTGGTATAACATGTAAAAAAAAACTAAATTAATAATATATACTTACCTAACACATCTATAGCGTGGCCTTTGTAAAATCACATAACTTATATAACGTGAGTGGTTTCTTTCCCATTATTGATCCATTGTATCACCCAAGATCTTTTATGGAGTAACTCTGTCTAAGAGATACTTATCTGTAAGAGTTCGCTTGGCTGTTGACGGGAAGCTTCGCGTATCTGAAATCTATGGGTTCACCGAAAATATAAACGGCACCGCCGTGAGGTTTATAACATTGTGTTCTATTCTATTATATGCGTATGGAATAGAAATGGAAAATAATATGTATTATGAATTCTATTCATATGTTATGTAATGCAAAATAGTTTGTTACTATACTTTTTATGATGTATCATTCCATTTGATGATTAATAAAGAACATATTATTTTGTTCACTAATATGTACTATACTATATATTTTATTCTATTCTATTTGGGTTTATGATTTATACTTGGGTTTAGTAATTAGGATTTAGGATTTAGTATTTGGAAGGTGGGGGTTGAGGTTTGGGTTTAGTAACTCTATTATGTATCGTTTCATTTGATGATTAATAAAGAACATATTATTTTGTTCACCAATATGTACTATACTATATTTTTTATTCTATTATATTTGCATTTATGGTTTATACTTGGGTTTAGTAATTAGGATTTATGATTTAGTATTTGGAAGGTGGGGTTGAGGTTTGGGTTTAGAAACTCTATTATGTATCATTCCATTTGATGATTAATAAAGAGTGTTATATTTTACTCACCAATATGTACTATTCTATGTATTTTGTTCTATTCTATTTGAGTTTAGAGTCTGCACTTGGGTTTAGGGTTTAGTGATTAGAATTTAGGGTTTAGTATTTGGAATGTATGGGTTGAATGACAACAGTTTAGGGTTTAGTATTTAGAGGAAATGATACGTATAATGAATATGTTTGTGGTAGTTATGTGGGGTTATAATCCTATACTATTTCAATGGAATGGAATAGAACGTCAAGTTGCATATATATGTGGTTAGTAAGCGTATACGTGGTTAGTTTTTTTTTTAAAAGTGTAATAGTTTTCAGGTGTTTTTGACCGTATGTTTTATAAGTCACGTTGATTTCTCTCTCATTTACCTACTACCTACAAAGAAAAAGGATAGAACCGGATATTTTGTGGCACAAATGTTAGAAATTATATTATGTCAAAATCAATGACATATACTTAATTTTGACTCCAAATATGGCTATTAAGCAAATAAGCCCATATATAAACGTGCTTCGTAGAATTATATTTTTTTTAGGAGGCGGCTGGAGTCTTTTTTTTAGGTTTAGCTTTTTAGATTTTGTTTAGTGTAAACCAAATTAGGGAAGTTGTAGTGGTTTAACTTTATTTTTTTCTTTCTGGTTTAGTTTATAACCAGAATAATTTGTAAACCAATTGTAATTTATAAATAAAATTTACTTTATTTTCAATTATAAAAAAATGGATTTAATCTTTCCATTATTTTATTTTTAATTATAATGATTTTGGTTTACTGTAGAAACTAGGTGATTTTCCCGTGCTCATGCACGGACATAAATATTTATAAAATAAATCTATTATAATAGTTGATTGATATTTACTTTAACATTTATATTAATTTATAGTTTTTATGTATAATTTATATTAATAATATAATATTATTTTAGTTATATATAATTTAAGATATATTATATTTAGTCAGTTTTATCATTTGGTTATATATATATATATATATATATATATATTGGATTCTATCTATTTATCTGAATTCAACTATAATCTTTTTTTATTCTAAATATCTTAAATTTTTGATTAATTGTTTTATTTATATTTATGTTGGTTGTTATCTTAGAAATATAAGTATGAATTAGTAAGATTATGTATTTTAAGATTTTTTGTGCTTAGAACGAAAAAATAAAAACTAAAGTGTCTGATTCTAAATTACATACATAAGTAATAATAAATTTTTGGAAGCTTATGAACACATATCAATATTTACAATAATTAAATATTTTATAAATTTTAAATAATTTATGCCTTAGATTGATTGGATGGTAAACTGAAATTTATGTTAAATAATTTTAAAAATAAGGAATTCTGATTGGCTTAAGTATTTTGATTATGGTTATATTAAATTCCACAAACATAAAAACGGAAAATTAAACATCAAAAGAGTTATTAAGAAAACAGATAATTTTAACTATTAAAATATAATATATCTACCTCGTTAAACTATATAGTGTTATGATATTTTAAAAGAATTAGAGTTATTTGATCAAAAGATGTTTATTATTAATTTATTTTTAGTTTAGTTTTTAATATCTCTCAAAATATGCAGTAAAAATATGATTTTTTGAGAAATTATATTATATAAGTAAAATATAATTTATATTTTTTGCTGTAAGTGTAAGATATTATAATCAAATAAATATGCTAATTATATTTTTTTGTCAATTTAACATATATCATTTTATGTTACTTAATTATTTTATGTAATCATCTAATAAAATAGATAGACATATACAAAAACTAATTACTTTAAAAATATATATTTTATTGTTTAAATTAATTTTTAAAGAAAAATATTTCTTTTCTAATATCATGATTATTTGTATGAACTTTTTTTTATGAAAACACATTATATACAAATAT